TGCCAGGCGTTCCCCGGCTGGTGCAGCTTTAGCAGGCTGCAATGGAACACCGGGTGGATCTTCCCGAGGCTTTTCGGGAGCGTCAGACTGACGGTTACCAGATTGATGACCTCTGTAATGGGGAACGGCCCCACGAATCTCGGGCTGAGTTTCTTCGATGTCTGGTGCGTCTTTAGGTTTTTGGTTGACAAATACACCTGGACCCCCACTTTCCACTGCCCCTCGGGGAGTCTCTTGCGGTCTGCGTGTTTTTTGTAGTCGGCTTTGGCTCTTTGCAATGCCGCGTGTGCCGCCCGCCGGGTGGCGTCGATTTGGGCGAACCAGGCATCCAGGGAGTTGATTTGGGATGCCGGCTGAGGCAACTCTGGCATGGGGACAAAGTCTCTCCCAGTGGCTACTTTGAATGGGGAGAAGCCGGTACTTTTGTGGACGGCGTTATTGTATGCTACTTCCGTGAACGGCAGTAGCTCCGCCCAATCGTCCTGTTGGTGTTCCACGTAGCAGCGCAGGTACTGCTCGAGACCCCCGTTCAGGCGGACGTGGCTCCGTCCGTCTGCGGGTGCACCGCGGAGGAAAGGGCTTGTTTCGTCCCCACCCGCTTCAGGAACTACCTCCAGAACCACGTGATGAAGTTGCCGCCCTGATCGCTGATGACCCGTCGGGGCACGCCGTGCAGCCGGTAAACATGCTGCACGAACAGCCTCGCCAGCCTCTCCACCGTGGGGACTCGCCGGCATGCTACAAAGTGTGCTTGTTTGGAGAATAAGTCTGTGACCACCCAAATGGCGGTCTTCCCCTTACTCTCCGGGAGCTCTACGATGAAGTCCATGGCTATCGCTTGCCTTGGGCTGTCGGGGTCCGCTACCGACTGGAGTAACCCCCTAGGCTTGCCTTTAGCCCCTTTCGCCATCGCGCACACCGGGCAACCCCCCGAGTATGCCTCCACGTCCTTCCGGAGCGTTGGCCAGCAGAACTGCCGCCGAATTAAGTGGAGCGTCTTCACGAAGCCGTAATGCCCCACGTTCCGGCTGTCGTGGGCTCTCTCCATGACCCCCCATCGGCACTCCTCGGGCACGTACAGCTTCCCTTCGTGCCACCACAAACCCCCTTGGCTGGTTAGTACTTCTCGGTTTTGCTTGAGCCAAGCGTCCCGCTCTGCCGCCTCCACAAACCCTTGCTTTACCTCAGGCACCGCGTCCCGCCACTCCCCCTTGGTCTGGCTCCGGGTTACCGCCTTTTCAGCCAGCCTGCTGGCAGGGATAATGGAGTCCACGATTTCCTCTCGTAGGCTGGCATGCTGGGGCATGCGAGACAACCCGTCTGGCAGGAAGTTACGCTTCCCGGGGATGTGTTTTAGGGTGAACCTGAATCTCCCAAAGTATTGGGACCAATGCGCCTGTTTGGGGGATAGCTTACGCGGGGTCTTCAGGGTCTCGAGGTTCTTGTGGTCCGTCCATACCTCGAATGGTCCGGCTGCCCCCTCCAATAGATGCCTCCAAGTGGCTAGCACCCACTTGACCGTGTACGCCTCTTCCACACCATCCACCTTCTCTCTGTCTCCGTGAATTTGCGGGAGGCGTAGGCGCATGGGTGGATGGCCCCCTCT